GGAAGCAGGCTGTAAAAACTAGTCGGTGGCTAGTGCACTGCTTCTACAAGACAAGGGATGGCTGAGTGCCGTTACCGTAGAGCTAGGTAGAGCACAGGACCGATTCTGTCTGCAGCATGGAGAACACTAACCTCTGATGCCATATCCCAAATTCCTGGTTTCCAGGGCTGGCAGAGAATGATCCTCTGCTAGTCAAGCCATGATCTGTTCTAGCAGCCTATGGAAACTAATGCAGAAGTGGGTATTGAAAGTGGGGTGGTTTAAAACTACACAGGAGCCTTGCCCAGGTGCCCCGGAGAAATGAAATGTGATGGGTCTCTTTCAGCTCAGCTTTCTCAGCTGTGGAGACCAGCTACTGGCCTGACTGTATTCCTTTTCTTAGCTTGCCAGGGAGGTCCAAAGGTCCCCAAGAGGCAGAAGGGAGACCCCTGTTTTTGCTATAGGGCCTCAGGAAAGGTGCCTGCCTGCCAGTGTCTCCGAAACCTAAACATTCTCTGTACTCAAAGATCTTAATCTCCTGTATTGCTTACTTTAGAGGGAGGTTGGTGTGGTCATATTCTGGTCCTGAGATATATGAAGGACCTAATTATCTCTTAAAGGTCTAGGACAGAACCTTTCCCTGTACCCCAGGTCCCACTGCTCTGTAACTATGGCTCTGTGTCCCAAGCATCCTGCTTTAGCTCAGTCTGGGCCCACGCCCGGATTCCCTGAAGCTCACTGTGCAGTATGTACCGGCTGTGAGTCAAATGCCACACTTTGCTGACTGTCAATGTGTGGCTCCCACAGCAGAATCTCCCACCTACAGGAAGCTGATATTTCCCAGTCCAGGGTAGGACACATCTCTCACAATAGCAGAAGCTGCAGCTGCATTGGTCAGCCTGGTTTATACAGTCACTGCAGCTTTCCTGGTGGGGCTCCTCTCCTGACTAGTCCAGCCCCGAGAGTCTCCCTCACTGTCCTCTCCCAGGGCCTGTGCAGACCCGAAGGGCTTCTAACAGTCAAACCTGTGTCTTAGGATGGTCCAGCTGTGAAACTCCACTTTGGGAGGGCAGTGAGAGCAGACTGCTCTGACACTACAGAGCCCCACTTTTCCTTCCTCTGCCCTCGCTCTCCCTGCCAAAGGCTGTCACCCTGTGCCGGTGGGAGTGGGACCACTTTCACCAGACTGTCTTCTCCACTGCAAGGTGGCCATCTACAATCCACCTTCAAGCTGCAGCGTCTGCTCCTCATGTGGGTTTTACTGATCTTCTTCCTGGCTGCCCCTCCCTCCTGCCCACCATGTCCTGTAGATCCATATGATTCCCACTCGCAGGGCATCCCTACCTGATTATGGGATGGTTGGAGGAGACTTGAGACTGAGAACTGAATGTTGGGTGAGTGAGGTTTTGGGGGATGTTAGCGTGGTGTGTGTGTGAGCACATGTGTGTGTGCATGTGTGTGTGTGTGTGTGTAATTTTTGTACAAGGACAGTGGGGCTGATCTGCACAGGAAGAACAGAGTGAGTTGTATCGTATTGAATGATGTTTTATTGTTATTAAAAAGATATAGAGAGACCTTAAAGACATAAATGGGCTCCAGAATATTTAAAGAAAAAAAAAAGCTGGCAAAGCTAAGCTTTGTGTCAATGAACATCTCTTGGGAGTCCCCTACGAGTCGGGCACCCCCTTTTCTTCCCACTTTCTTCCTCTGTCTTTGTTGGAGACTCTGACCTGGAATTTGACTTTATATGAAATGGGGAAACAGTCATGGTGTGTCTTCAGGGCCAGTGGCCAGCCCGCCTCAGTGGCCCAGGTGTGGCTTCTCTTTCTGGATGTCTACTCTAACTGGTGTTTTCTGCCCTAAGTGGCCTGGTCTGGATGCCAGGCTGCAGAAAGGGCCCATTCTGGCCTAACTTTTCTAGTATCCTTTCCTCTTCCCCCTGTTGCTCCTGGACCACCTTCTGGCCTGACTTGGATCTGCTCATCAGGCCCTTCTCCTGGAGATCCATCCTTCAGGGTTGCTCAGCCTTTGCTCTGTGGCCTTTGCACCAGTTCCTGCTAGGGTTCGACAGAGGCTGTGAGGCTCAGGCCCTCCTCTGGATGTCTCTCTGGAGTACAGCTGGGTCATGCAGTGAGGTAACAGTGTCCTGCTCTTCAGGCTGTGGGGTCAGCAGTGTCTTTGACTGGATCTTGCATCTGAGAATTCAGCGTGTTGCATGGGTGGCAGGAAGAGGTGTCTTCTTAAGCCCCATCTTAGGGAGGTTCTGCCCCTACATTCCAAGAAACGAGAGTTCAGTTAAGTGTCCGGAAAAAACCTGGCAGGGTAATGGTGGGGTGAAGGCCATTAGAATAATCTTCAGTAGCCCAGCCCAGAGTTCCCTTAGGGCAGGGCTGTCCCTGGCTTCTCTGCCTCAGTGGCATATGGAAACTTGCCCTTCTCTCGGGAAATCCTGTTTTTGAGAGGACTGTGTGGACAAGGATGGTTCTAAGGCTTGTCGGCCTCTAAATGGATGCATGTAATGCAGCCCCTCCTGGGAGAGTGCCTGGCCAAGGGCCAGACACCCTGTAAAAGGAACTTATGGCCCTATCCATTAATCTGTGTGGTGGTGCTGCTTGAGTCCTATTGGATGTGGTCTGGGGCAGAATCTGCTCTCCACGTGGTCCTCCAAATGTGGAAGGGAGTTGGGTAGCAGAGTCAGAGCGCTAAGCTCAAAGGATGCTGAGATGAGAGGGCACTGTGACCTGTGTATCTGGCTGCTCAGCAGGATGGACTTGGTCCTAGAGAACCTAGCAAGCTCTGGGCCCCTCTGAAGAGGTTACCTAGGCCCCCTGCCCAATCATGTTCCTGTAGTCAGGGGCAACGGTCTGCTTCACCTCCACCACCGAGGAGACGATCCACTTCACCTGTGGGATGCAAAACTGAGCTGAATGGTGTGACACCAGTCCCCTCCATCCTGTACAGTAAGACATAGGCAGCTCCTAATCTTGGGGTGACATACAGCTAGAGTGCAGATAAAACGGTGCCATTGTAGGGCACAGTGTGGGTATGGTTTTGAGATGGTGTATAGCTATAGTAAGGGTAACTGTAGGGCTATCACAGGGATCTAGTGAGGACCAGGTGTGGATAGAATGGGAAATGGCGTAGGAACAGTGTGCAGACAGTATTGGAGACAGTGGATAGGGTGGGTGACAACTTGAGGGAGCATCAAGACAAATTAGGGACAACATGGACAATGTGGGTATGATACAGAACAGTAGAGGGACAGTGGGGGTGCACGAGGATGGCATGACTGTAGAAGATGGCATATGACACCATGGGAGAAAGATGGAGACAGTATGGGATAGGTAGGGACAGCATGAATCATCATAGAGATAGCTTGTGGATAGTGTAGATATTATGGGGTGGTGGGGGAACGGTGCCGACCTTGTAGAGTGTGACAGTGGCACTGTAGCACACGCTGAGCAGGAAGAGGGTGATGAAGATGGTGATGGTCGTCCAGAGCCCGTCCAGCTCCCCATCCTGAGCCTCAGCACAGCTGTTGTCCAGTTCTAGCTCTGTACAGAGAGGGGCAGTCAGTGTTTGTCCCAACAAGGTGGAGCAGGGAGTGATTCCCTGTGTGGTGGATGAGGCTGCGTGGAGGCAGAGGAGAAAGGGCCAGCTGGGCTGGGCCAGCATACCCTCCCTGGGGCCAGCTTTCTGCCCTCTCTGGGCCAGCAGACCCAAGTTTCTCCAATTGTTCCAGCTTAAACCTTGGGCTCAGCCAGAAACAACAGACCAGATGGTGGCCCGGACTAGGCAGGGCTCCTTTTTGTCTTCCCCACCCCTCAGTACTGGGGCTGGCTGGGCTGAATCAGGGCTTGTGACCCCTGTAGGTAGTGGCTCTGCAGTCTGTGTGATTTACTGTCTGTCCGCTGACCAAGCCCAGAGGGCAGAGTGAGGGTAGGGCCTGTGTTCGCTGATACCTGGGCTTTCTAGAAGGTCTACACTGGGAAGTGAACCAAGGTATACAGTTATGGGAGGGTGTTAACTGTGTGGGATGAAAATTGGGGCTCGAGGATAGAGGGTCAGATTGGGTCTAGGGGTACTTTTCTATGCATTAGGGAAAAGATTTCAGGTGTCCAGGAGAGCTAGTTCATCTGCACTGGCCCAAATATGAACATTTAGGTAGTGCTTAGGGATATCCTGGTACTAAGTGGGCTTGGTTGCTATGCAGCCTGCCCATGTAAGATGTTGTTGTTGTTGTTGGTGGTGGTAGCGGTAGCGTGTGTGTGTGTGTGTGTGTGTGTGTGTGTGTGTATGATTAGAGGTGCCATGTGGGTTGGGTGATGCTCAGCAGGCTGGTTCTAATGGCTCTGGTCTCAGCATCTATGTGGGTATCTGAACAGTCACCTCCTTGGGGGCAACCAGGGTCATAGGTCTCAGTGTCTTGGAACACAAGTGTGTGTGACTGTCATATGGGAGGTGGTAGAGTGAGGAGTGGTCATCATGTATAGACAGTAAGAGTCTTTCTGTCTGTCAATGTCCCAGCTTGCTTCTTTAGTGCTCACAGAGACCTCCTAAGTCAAGGTAGGGGGTCATGCTAGAGAGAAGGACAGACAGATGATGGTGGTTTGTATTGAGGTGGGGTGCGCTACCTGTGTTCCTTTCTTTGGATGTTTTCTAGGGGTATCTTCAGTCCCATCACAGAGCAGTTGCTGGTTGGAGGGAGGGTATGGAGAGGGCCCCTTGGGACAGACTTCCTACCCAGTGAGGGATGATCTCTGGCAAGGACAGGTACACTTGTATGCTCTGGGTCTGGCAGTGTAAGACCTGTTTTCTTTCTTTGATGCTAACTTAGGCCTCGAACCCTGGTCAGACCCCACAGCCTGTGGCTGAGGCATGTCATGAACTATGTGCCGTGTAAAGAACCAGGATAGTCTCACAGGGTCCCAGGGTAGCCCTGGGTGCTTTATTTATAGGGTTAGGGGTTAGGGATGGTATCAGTGTCTTGTAGGACCCAATGTCTGGTTGGGTGTTTGAGCTCATTTACCCAGGGAGTGGGAGAGGGTCTTCTGTGTGTGGTGGTTGTGCAGAGCCTCGTGCACCACGGAGCAGGTAAACGTGTCTCCTCGCAACCAACTGTTTGTGTCCACAGTGAGCTTGCTGTACAGGAAGTAGGACCCATCTGAGTCCAGAATGGGTGGGGTGTTCTTGTAGCTCTGCTCCAGCTCTCCGTTTCTTTCCCACTCCACACTGATGGCTTCGGAGAAGAAGTCAGTGATCATGCAGGTCAGACTGACCTTCTTCTTGGACATTTGCTCTCGAGGTGGAGGCATGGCATACACTTGAGGCACCCGGGCTTGCCCTGGGAGGAGAGAAGTCATAACAAATTACTGACAAAGTGGAGGCCTGTCCACACAAGTGTTTACTCTTATTATGCCCATCACAGCCCCCCCCGCCCCATCCAGTCTGTCTACAGCTCCCACCTTTGGGTTTTGAGATGGTTCTCTCAATGGGGCCTGGGAGGGCTTTGTTGTTGACCTTGCATTTGAACTCCATGCCCCTCAGCCATTCCTGGTGCTGGATGGGGAGGACACTGACCACACGCAAGGTACTGTTGTACTGCTCCTCACGGGTCTGTGTCTCAGCTGTGTGCACTTCTTTATTGTTCACAAACCATCTGAACTGGACATCTGGATCATCCTCACTCACATCCACCACCACACACGTGCTCTTGGGGGTCAGGGAGATCATGAGTGTCTCTTTGGGTTTTGGAGGGAAGATGAAGACAGATGGTCCACCTCCAACGCAAGAAGCTAGTGAGGGGAGATAAGATGGATCAGAAACTGAGCCTCCAATGTGCGACTGTTTGTGACAATCATTTCCTGGTATTAAAGGAGACTTAAATGACTTACGTGGGCACAGGGTAACTGGAGGCTTTCTGGGTTCTACAGAGAAAAGACTGGGCATTAATAGTCTGGAGGAGAGAAGGCATCAGTCTGGGGAGGAGAAGGTCGGCCCTAATGTGGGCTCAGGTCAAGCTGTTCCTGGATATGATATGGATTGGCAGGTTGAGACCTGTGTCCATGATGTGATATATTGGTAGCCTTCTCAGAAGACCACTCCCATAGTGTGAGGAACACAAGCAGAGACTTCCAGGAGGTAGACACAAAAGAACCCCGCTCCCCTGATTGGTATTGCCTCCCAGCCAAGGTCTGTACAGCTTGATTGTTCTAAACAGAGGCTGACTCCAAACTGAACCCCAGTTAACCCTTATCTCCCTTGGTAACTCTCTCACCAACTGTCTTCCTCAAATTGGTGCTGCTGGCCGGGTGGACCACGTCGCAGGTGATGGTCTGGCTGGGCCAGGTGCTGGAGGACACAGTCACCAAGCTGCTGCGGGAGTAGAACCCAGAATGCAGGACAGATGGAAAGTTGTGCATGCTGCTGTACAGGGATCCAGAGTTCCAGGTTATGGTCACCGGCTCAGGGAAATAGCCTTTGGCCAGGCATCCTAGGGTTACCATGGATCCAGACGTGCCACCACAGCCAGGGACCAAGGGATAGACAGATGGGGCTGTTGTTCTGGCTGCAAGAGAGACAGGATATGTGAGCTTATCAGACATGGCTGGATCCAGGCACCTGGAAGAACTCTTGCCTTGGCCCTGCAAGGACCCCAGGCTTCTGCAAAGAGCATATAGGATCTAGGACCTGGGATGTGGACATCATATGGCCACCTTGACTGTTCCAGCTGTCTCAACTTAGACCCTCTCTGCCCCAGGATCGCCAGGCTAGGCCTGACCAGTAGAGCTTGTGAGCCCAGCTCTATCCTAAGGATATTTTCAGAAAGCTGGTGGATTAGCCCTCCAGTGTGGTTTCTATGTCCAGCTCTATAGTCTCCTGCACTTATGTCTTGAAGCTGTACACATCATTTAAGTCTCTCCTCAGTGGAGCCTGCATTCCCTTCCCCAACTCTGCCTGCCCTGTCATCTGTCATGTTGGCTTCCACTGTCCTGTTGGTCCCTTGTTCCCTCTCTGTATTTCATTCTCTCTCTCTCTCTCTCTCTCTCTCTCTCTCTCTCTCTCTCTCTCTCTCTCTCTCTCTCGGTAGCTCCTGTTCTCAGGTCCCACAAGCTCTTCACAAAACTAGATCCCTTGTCCTAACCATGCAGGCTATGCCTTCTGGAGTTGGCTCTAAGCTAAGGAGAGTAAATAAATCCCGTCCTAGACTCTGATTCTGCACTGGCACAATGCTCAGGGGACCCTTCCTCAACCGGCCTGTTACTTTGATTTCCGAATTTGTGCTCTGGGATCCAGCTTGACCTCAGCCCTCCTTGAATCTTCCTCCTTGATTCCTGAGGCTCATACCCAGCACACCTGTCATGCACCTTCCTGGCATGGGCAGCCCTGGCCTGGCCTGACTTCCCTGATGCTTGCCTGCTTCTTGTCCTCTGCAGGGTATTTTTCCTAATGGGAACCTAATGAGTTCAGCTCTAGTTTCCCTACTGCCCCTTCTCTTACCCCTAACCCCACACCTACCCCTGCCTTCTATGTGGTTCCAGTGTCTCCAGATCCCAGCAAAGTGCCCTTTTCTCTTTCTAGAAGCCTTGGACCCTTGCGTTTAGGATATGCTAGCGTTCATGAGGAAACTGGGTGTCAGGCTTGGGTTCCCTTCAACCCTGGCCTCCTTCCATCAGCTCCAGGACCTTACTGGCCTCCTGCATCCTTCTTTGTACCACAGCTGCTGGTACCTGCTGCTCAGACTCTGAAGTGTCTCCCCCCAGTCCGCCCTCTGTGCATCCAACTCTGTATACCTAACTGCTGTGACATGTTTGACCTTGCTATCTATGTTTCCATTAATCTCCAGGGACAAAGACGGGGCTCTTGACCCCAGAACTGTGTGCAGTCTGTATGGTCCTTTTGAGAGTGTTAGCCTCAGGAACTTTCCCTGCCCAGGTGCCTGCTCAGCCAAGGCTCTTCTTGTCCCTCACTACTGGTTCTCTCTGCAACCGTGCTGACCACCTGCCTGTGAATTCAGGCGAGCCCTGAGCACTTTGCCTTTCCCTTTCTCCTTCCCTTTCCGCTCTGTCTAGTCCTTGCACATCGCTCTCTATCTGAACCCAGATCTCACTATCTTCTTGCCAGTAGGCATGTGCCAAAATGAGGTGCAGACCAACATTAGGGGAGCTGAAGCAGCAGGGAAGGTAAGATGACCAGGTCCCCTGGAACTGTTTCCAGTCCTCCCATGTCACCTGGTCCCCACTCCCTCAGCTGTCACTGAAGCCTGAATCATCTCAGTTCTTACAAAGGCCCAGGGCTCATTCACTTGGACTCTCCTGCCCCGAGCATTCCTGGTTGCCCCTGCTAGACCTACTGATTTCCTGTGGTTGATCCCCTGGCGTTACCACCTGCCTCAGCTCACTGTGGCTACTCAGACTGGTTCTCCACACAACCACTTGTCCTGGCTTCCATATAGCTTTCCCACACTCCCGTCTTCCCCAGAACCTCAGTAACTGCTTGATCCGGTCCCCCACACTCCCTCCTTTTCCAGTCACCTTGTAGGTACTCAGCCTGATCCCCCCAACTCCTACCAATCCCAGCTCGCCTGTAGCTGCTCAGCCCATTCTCATACCTTCACCTGCTTTGGCTTTGTTGTTGCTCAGTCTGGTTTCCTGAGCTGCTGAGGCTTCCCTGACCCTCCAGAACTCCCACCTACCTTGACTTCCCTGAGGTTCTCAGCCTGCTTTCCACCATTCCCGCCAGCCCCAGCTCTCCTGTAGCTCAGTGCTCTCCCTCCCCTATCTCCCCTAGTTCCCTTAGGACTACTCCGCCAGAACTCCTAAATTCCTACTTGCCCCAGCTCCCCTGGATCTGATCAGCCTATTCTCCAAACCCTCACCTGTCTCAGCTCACTGGTACCTGTTCAGTATGGTATCCTATAACCCGGGACCCTCTACATCTGACAGTCCCAGCTCCCCTGTGGCTTCTGAGCCTGGTCCTTCATGTTCCCATCCACCTCAGCTCCCCTGTAGTTGCTTAGCCTACTCCTCACATCATCACCTACCTCAGCTCTCTTGTAGGTGCTTAGTTTGATTTCATGAGCTTCGGAGGCTTCCTTGATTCTCCAGAACTCTGACCTACCCTGAATCCCTAGAGGTGCTTATCCTGGTTCCCCACATTCCCACCTGCCTCAGCTCACCTGTAGATGTTCAACCTGGTATCTTATACACTCATCAACTCTAGCTCCCCTGTAGCTGCTCAGCCAGACCCCTGTACCCTCACTTGCCCCAGCTCCCCTGTAACTGTTTAGCTTGGTCCCCAACACTCGCATGTGCCTCTGCTGCCCTGTAACTGCTCAGTTTAACACTCCAAACTTTTACTATCCCCAGCTCCCTGTAGCTTCTCAGCCTGGTCTCCCATACTATACCTATCCCAGCTTCCTGTAGCTGCACAGCCTATTCCTTATATCTTCACCTGCCTTACCTCTGCTGTAACTACTAAGTCTAATTTCCTGAGCCCTTGAGTCTTTCCTGACTCTCTAGATCTCGAGCTTAACCTGGATTTCCTGAGTTTCCTCAGCCCGGTCCCCAACACTCCCACCTTCCCTAGCTCCCCCAGAGCTTCTCAGCCTGGTCCCCACACTCCCACCTTCCCTGGCTCCCCCATATTTGCTCAGCCTGGTCCCCACACTCCCACCTTCCCTGGCTCCCCCATATTTGCTCAGCCTGGTCCCCACACTCCCACCTTCCCTGGCTCCCCCATATTTGCTCAGCCTGGTCCCCACACTCCCACCTTCCCTGGCTCCCCAGGAGCTGCTCAGCCTGGTCCCCACACTCCAACCTTCCCTGGCTCCCCCAGGGCTGCTCAGCCTGGTCCCCACACTCCCACCTTCCCTGGCTCCCCCAGGGCTGCTCAGCCTGGTCCCCACACTCCCACCTTCCCTGGATCCCCCATATTTGCTCAGCCTGGTCCCCACACTCCCACCTTCCCTGGATCCCCCATATTTGCTCAGCCTGGCCCCCACACTCCCACCTTTTCTGGCTCCCCCAGGGCTGCTCAGCCTGGCCCCCACACTCCCACTTTTTCTGGCTCCCCAGGAGCTGCTCAGCCTGGTCCCCACACTCCCACCTTCCCTGGCTCCCCCAGAGCTGCTGGGCCTGGTCCCCACACTCCCACCTTCCCTGACTCCCCAGGAGCTGCTCAGGGTATGCTTTACATCACCTGTCTCAGCTCTGCTGTAGGTGCTCTGTCTTGTTTCCTGAGTGGTCAAGGCTTCTGTGACCCTTTAGAATCCCTACCCACCTGGAATCCTGGAGGTGTTCAGTCCGGCTCTCCATGCTCCCTCTTGCTTCAGCTTCCCTGTAGTGCCCCAGCTTGGTCCTCCACACTCCCACTTGCCTAGGTCTACTGAGCTCTCATTTTGGTAACCCCACACTCTCATCTACCCTGCGTCCCCTTTAGCTCCTCAGTTTGGTCTCCCACACTCCCACTTTCCCCAGACCTGCTGTGGCTCTCAGTCAGATTCCCTATATTCTTTTTTGTCCCAGCTCCCCTGTGGCTGCTCAGCCTGGTACCTTGAAATCTTAGACACCCCAATTCCCCTCTCTTGTTTCATAATTCCCTGAGAACCTGGACCTGCCTTGGTCCTCCCAAATGCCCACCGTCCACAGTCCACCTGTAGCTTCCTGCCTGGTTCTTGGAGTTCCTTAGACTTCTTCCTGCCAGTCTTGGCTTCTTTCAGTTCAGGTTCGGCTCCACCCCCTGTCTCATCTCTTCAACACTGAACTTGGTTCCTAAACCCTAGAGATTCTGCCCTCTTTCCTGGATCCCGCAGCAGGCTTAGAGTCCCCTTTCAATGAGTTTTGGATTCCTCCACGCCTTCTTTCCCCTATCAACTCACCTTCTTCAGCTTTGCAGGTTTCTGCCTCAGAGTCACTGCTTCTCTGGTCCCCACTCTCTGTTGGCTCAGCTGATTTGGTCCTACCAGCTTCCAGACAGACCAAGTTCATCTCATAGGCCTCCTGAGGTATCCCATCAACTACTTGAGGCCAACTCTGGTTGTTGTTGTTGTTGTTGTTGTTGTGTGTGTGTGTGTGTGTGTGTGTGTGTGTGTGTGTGTGTGTTCAGATCCAGTGACCTATGCTCCAGCCCATGGGATCCCTGGACCCTGTCTGGTCAGCTCTTCAGACTGTTATCTTACCTGTGCAGCTCATGAACCTCCTCCATAGCATCTGGTATCTCAGCACCTTCCCACTCCTCCATGGCTTGTTGGTTGTTCAGTTCTGGAGATAACCGCTGTTGGCCCAGGTCTCATGGTCCTCTTCCCTTGCACTATCCTTTTCCTGTTGACCCCACTCACGTGATGGAAAAATGAAGATAACCACCTCTTTCCTTACTTTGTCGCATGGCTCCCAGAAGCTTAACTGTGGGCTCTGTCCTCCAAAAAGTTACAGAATGTCAGCTCACACCCATCTCTGCACAGACTAAGAACAGGATTGAAACTGGGTGGCACATGGTACTACCTGAAGTTCCCCTTTCTTTAGGGGTTTTGTGTCAAGGGGTGAGGGGAGTCCAGATCTGGCTGAAGCTGCTTCACGTGGATGGGTGGGGGTGGAGGAGGTAGTAC